TTGTTCTCCTGTGAATATCTGTCTTGTTCTACTCTGAATAAAATTATTTGTGTCTTTATGTGTCTCAATATATGGTCTGTCTTCTGCTCTGAATAAAATTATTTGTGTATCTTTGTGTGTCTCAATATATTATGTGTCTTGTTCTTCTGTAAATATCTGTCTGACTTCTTCTGCTGTGATTTTTTTTCTATATTCCAGGTCTCTGTGTATGTGTGTGCATGCACGTGTGCATGCATGCATGCAATCTGTGCCTCCCTGCACAGTGATAGATAACACTGGCTGGGAAAACACAACTTTCTTTTTGCAAAGTTTCCAAAAAAGGTTTCCAAAAAAATAATTCAAAGAAATAAATTTAATTGTAATACTACTAATAATTGAATACAATGGCTAAGCTAAACTAAGCAAAGCTAAGCTAAATCTTGACTACTCTTTAATTAAAAACAAGAAAAAAGAGCAGGCAGGTCTCAGTCACAGTGTTCTTCTCTCACACAGTTGCTGACGGAATGAGCTGCAAAAGGCAGAGAAGGGCTGGAAACAGGCTTTTATGCTTTTTTTAGTCCCACCCCACAGGCACTGCCATTGGAAAAGTAGCCAGGGAGAAATCCTTCTCACTGGCTGCCTGCAGATGTCAATCTTCACCCCTGCTCCTCCCTTCCCCCGCCCACTCTCCACCCCTCCCCCACTCCCTCTCCCTCTTCTAATTGCTTCAAAAAGGCCAAAGCAGGTCCGAAGCATCCAAAGTGGATTCAAAGTGCTTTGGATGCCCCTGACCCACTCCAAATACCATTGCTGGGACCCCACTTTGATCCGGAAGTGCCGCTTCAGATGTCAAAGCATCCAAAGTGGCTCCGGATCCGAAGCGGGATCCAAAGACTCACACAGCCCTAGTGTCTGGGAATGGGATAGGGCCATGACAGGTGGCAAAGATGCCATGAGACTCAGACTTTCTTCACTATCGCTAGAACATCTTAAACATGACTTAGATTTGTGTGTTTCATATTTAGCCCATCCAGCGTGCTGTGAATGTCTGTACACATACAGGTGTAGATTGAACTATTTTCAGTTAGTCAAGTCCAAATGTAACTTCTGTATGTTCCTCTAAAGAGACTGTAGCAGCGCTAGCCCTAAACACACAGATGGGTCTCCAGTTTATCCAAGACATTACAACCACAAATTATAAATTCTGTCAGGGAAAGAAGAAACCATGATAAAGCATTACAAACACTTTTAATACCTAAAAAATCTATACTTATTCATTCTGTGTATCTTGTAATAAAAGTAAAGGATTAATAAATAAAAAATGGCATACAGAGTTTATAGCATGATTTCTAAATAACACCTTTTCAGAGTGTTCTGTTAAGTTGGAAGGACTTTTATTCTTTGTATGGTGTCTTTTGTTTCCCCCCAGAATATATTTTTATATTTGTAGTAAATGTTCACTTTGGTTTCTTAAATGTCTGTAGGAATAAAAAGAACAAAGATTCTTTTCATAGCTTAAGAAACTTTTTCACTTTCACTTTCAGAGATAATAGTAGATCAGACTTTTTCTTTAGCCTCCTTTATACTGCATTACTATGTTAGTTATATAAAGCACTTGTCAAAATATCGTAGGAAATTTTCCCAGGTGAATCTATATCCTGGCATCATAGACTTCATTCCACTGATTAAGCTATAAGTGAAAAATCCCAGAAGGTTAAAGTGGCTAAAAATCCTGAATGGTTTATAAGCTGGAGTGCCTCTGGGTATGTGAAGTTTCTTGATGAAGCAGTTGAAAATGTTATCACCTAGCCTTGAAGGAGTGATTCCACTTGCTCTAATTCTCCATGGCTTTGAACTACAAATTGCATCAATCAAAGAATTTGATTGACTTGCCATAGGAATAGGTCCTTTGATGAGCTAGGGAAAATGAGAAAGTTTTAACAATTAAGGTTTTCCCCCTGGTTTAAATATATCTGTTTATTGCAATGATGGGTAAAATCCAAAATGTACTTACTTTTTGCCAGTATTGCCAGGTCTACTCTTCCACAGGGTGGGGCAGGGTGGCAGCTTAGGGCACCTATACACATAATGGACCTCTGCTCCAAGGTTTGCTAATTAGCACGCATCAGATCAGACTCAATTAATCCAGTCTTCTTGAGCATGTTAATTAGCGCACTCCAGCAGCCTCTGTGTCACATGTATTCAGCAGTCCCACATTTCAAAATGGTGGCAGGGATACTTTAACTAAAGTTGCTCAGATCCATGTGACACTGCAGACCCTTTACACAGAGCATGTGTATAGATGCTCTTATATACTAACTGGTTCACAGAGACATAAGCTTTCATAGGTGACAGCTTACTTTGTCAGATGCTACAACTAGTTCATTCATAACACTTGTGAACTGTGCTGCAAATTTGCAGTGGAGTGCCAAAATTTGATGCCAAAATGTCCCAGTATCCAAAAAATTAAAAGGAAAGAAAACACCACCACAAAAAGCCACATGGCACAAGTGGCAGCAGTGTATGCTCCCAGAAATTAAGCCTGGTTGTCCAGAGCCATGGTCTGGTTGCTGGCCAGGTTCTGTGCAGCCAGATCGGTGCTGCTGCTGCCCTGGGAGGCCCCCCAGAATCCCAGATAAGGCTGCTGGGGCCAGCACAGGTGCTGGCCCTGGCCTCATGTACCCTGCTTGGGACAATATGACATATGCTGGAGTGCATAAATGTGTGCCACTGCTTTTTGTGCCTCTGGAAATGCATGCCACCGAATGGGGGAATGCACCCTCTGGGTTTATCTCAAGATTATTTTTGCAAACCTAACAGGGCTAATTGTGTGGCATCCCACAGTACTCATGAAAGGATCTCATGACACCCCAGGCTGCCATGAATATCAAGTTGAGAATCACTGGTTTAAGGTGTCACCCTGCCCTGCCTTCTGCCTGACTTCAGAAAACCATGGCTAAAAACCTGTCCTTCAGAATATTCCATTCCATTCAGAATATTCCATTCCATTCAGAATGTTCCATTCCAACTTTCAGAGCTTTATTAAATGCGGGGTGGTCCAAATTGCCTGCTATTCTTAATTCTTTTTCATCTTCCATTTTACACACATTTTTGTCCTCAGGAAATCTGCAGAGCTTGCAAGATTTGAAGGCTAACATGAGAAGAATTGCCCAGCCTTGTCAAGATCACCTGAACATTTTTGAAGAAAGGTGAAGTAGTACAGAATTCTTATTTTTCTAGATCTAGGCAATCTAACAAAGCCCTATTAACCTCGAAATCCCTGCATTTAGTGAATGTATGCCATTAGCATCTTTTCTGTTTACAGAGATTATATACCATATTTTCTCAAATATAAGATGAGAATTTTGTTCCCCCCCATTAGCATGGGGGAATTGGCACACCCGCAACTCCCCCATTAAATACATTGGCTATCATTAAACTGCTGCTAGAAGCAACAATGTGCTCAGTCATGGAAATCAACTATGAAGCTGATTGAATGCAGTAGGCCTGTGCAAAGCAGCAAGTATTTGATTTGGATTTGGATTTGGCTGATTCAAGGGACAGTGATTTGATTCAGTGATTTGAATCACTGTCCTGATTTGATTTGGCCAATTTGGATTCGGAGATTCGGTCACCAAAGTGGCTACTGAAGCTTCAGACAGCCCTAACAGATAGGGATATGTTCCCAGGAAGTGAGGCAGGGAGGGAGTAAGGCTGGGACTAGGGAAGGGGTGGGGGGAGGGGTGCCACTCCCAGGGCTGCACTGTGCTCCACCTGTCCCCCTGTGCCTAGGTTCTGCCCATCCCCACTCACCCCACCTCCTGGGCTGCTGTCATTCCATATCCAAATCTGGGGGCACACACTCCTGGAAGAGCTCAACACAGCCCCCAAGCCCGCAGCCCTTCTGGGAGGTGCAGAGCAGCAAGAGAGCCCACACCCACTGACAGTTCTCATTGCAGTTGGTGCCAGCCATTCCCGGGGCTGCTGTATCAGGGGCTAGGGTGAATGTGGACAATCTGCACCATGTCCCACACCACCCAGGGCTTCACTTGCTGCCACTCCCTACAGCCCCTGCTGCAATGGCCCCAGGAGCAGCTGACACCAGCTACCTGACACCACGGTATGGTGCAGCCCAGGGAATTCAAATGAGCACCAAAACTTACTAACCTAACCCCATCACCAGAAGCCAACTTCCTACAGCTCAAAACACAAAACCTGCCAACAATCTCCAGTACCTCCACAAACTTCACACCAGAATCTATCAAAGACAAGAATACCCAACTACCTCTGGGGGCACATTTCTCACAAAAAACCCCATTTTGTCTCCAGTCTCTCAGGCCCAATCCTGAAAGGGAATTTACAAACCACTTTTCACAGCTGGACCTATGAACTTCACTTCATCAGCCTCCTAGGTAGTAGGTACAGAAACTTATGGACTCAATATAGACATTGAATTCTGACACACTGCAACCTGCCAGACATCTGACTCCTGAGGTACCTCTGCATTTTTACTTGTGCTGCTACATCCCCCTGTGGCTGCTGCACCACCAGCAGTCCCACCATGCCTCCCCGACCCTGGCAGAGTGCAGTTTTAGTTGTCATGCCCAGGACCTGGGGCCTCCTCCTTCCCCACTGCCCCAGTCCATACCTCAAAGTTTATCCTGGCATGGGAGCTCAGCAGGGATGTAGTCTTCCCCTGCTGGGTGGTGATGCAGTGAGTGCCCCCTCCAGCTCTGAGAGCGGGGCATTAAACAGCTTTTAAAAAATGAAAAAAGGAATTAGGTACAGATGGAGTGAGGAGGGTGGCATGCACTCTGTCTGCACCTGGAGCTTGGGGAACACCACCAGTGGGAGGTTCACCTTCAGGAACACTAGCTGCTTCACCAAACCAGAATCCAAGTAGGTACAGTGGGGTGTCACTACCTCCCCAGCAATGCTGAACACACTCTTGCTTGGAACACTGGTTGGTGGACAGGACAGGTGTCTGTGGGCAACTATGGTCAGAGCCGGCCACATCTGGCTGCAGCTTGCCTAATAGGCCAAGGGGTTGCACAGCAGCAGCTTAATGTCCTTGGCAAGATAGGCAGCCACCAAGACCTGAGTGCTACCTGCTTGATGGTGGGGTTTGGTGCCTCTGGACCCCACCATGGAAGCCATGACCTTGGCCTGGAGTTACAGTCCAGTGCATGTGCCTAGGCTAAGGGGTCACAGTCCAGTGGCTCCACATCCTCAGTGAGATAGGTAGCCACTGAAGACTCAGTGCTACCTGCCTAAGGCTAGGATCTGGTACGTCTGGACCCCAACATTGAAGCCATGACCTTGGCCTACATTTGCAGTGGCTGGCATGGAGGAGACTGGCTGGTGCTGTTACTGGCAGTGCTGCCACAGGAAAGTGGATCACCCTTTTTTCACATCCCCTTACCTCTGCCCTTCTGATTCCCTGACTCTGTTGACCAGCACCTGCATCCAGTGATTGAGGGTTTTGGTGCTGCCAGTGCACATGCTCCTTTTCAATCTTGGGTCACACATGCCTGCCAGCATGTGGACTGTATTGGACCACAAGGGATCCATACGTCTCCTGATGCCCTCCTTCAGCCGCCTCATAAGTGCCTGCACATCTGGTGACAGCGCCTTGCCCCAGCCAGGAACACTGATCCCCTGGAAGCTCTCCATTAGGCTCTGAAGTTCCCTGACTATGTGGATCACCTGAATAAGGAGGGCATCAGCAGCATGAGGGTCCCAGTGCCTTGAGGAAGGGCTTGAGGACCACCAAGATCTGGGACATGGTATCCCAATCAGCTCTGTTAAGGGGGCTGCTGATCCCAATCCCAATGTGCTGCTCCAGTGGAGGTAGCTTGCCACCTTCCTACATTTGGAAATGAGCTTGCTGGTGGTGCTGGCACCATCACTGGCAGCCCTGTCGCCCTCCAAGGCATTCCTGACAATGAGGTGGAACTTGTGTGCCACACAGTGGATGCCAGCAAAGTTGGCATCATGAACCATCTTGACCATATTGGCCCCATTGTTGGTGACCATGAACCCATAGGTGAGCTCACCCTGCCTAATGACCCACCTCTGCACCAAGTGGCTCATGGCTCCCATGATCTCTGTTGCTGTATGGGACTCATCCATCACCTCAGCTTGAAGGAGAGTCCACTGATGGTCTGACTTATTGCAGCAGTGCCCTGTGAGGGAGAGGTAGGTGTGATGTCCACCTCAGCTGCTCCACATGTCTGAGGTGAAGTGTAAGGCCACCTGTGGTGTTACCAGATTTGCCCATTCCTTTGGGGTGTGCTCATTTATTAGGGATACATTTCTAGGGTCTTGGTCATTCTATTGATGTGCTGCTTGTGTTACTTGTGTTTCTATACGGATCTGTATCTTTCCCTTCCGCAAGCCATCACCCCCAATGGAGCTATCTTGCAGGACTCAATTTCAGTGTGGCTGGGTTCCTGCAGTACCCAAATCAGTCATACACACAAACACACACAGATTAACGTGACACACCTGACCTGGCCAGGTTGATCAGCATGGACAGGCTGACACCCTCATATGCCAAGAATCAGTTCATCAGAGCAACAATAACTACAGTCAGACACAAGCACACAGTTAAACAGAATACCTCTGAATCTGGCTGGGTGTCCAGCTGACACCCTCATAAGGCCAGCATTGAGTTCATTAGGGCACATCTGAGCCAAACTGGGTCAATCAGCCTGTACAAGCTGATCCCCTTATGTGTTTCAAACTCAGCACGTCCCAATCTTTTAGCCTCTTGATGAGCAGACCCCACAGTATTTTTGGGCTTCACAGGGATCTTTAGCTTAGGTAAAAGAAGCGAGGCTGCAGAGCAAGTGGGGAAGGAGAAGAAGAGAAGGAAAAATATACCCAGTTACCACCAGTTTGACTAAAAAAGTTATTTATTGCTAAGTATACAAAATATATAATGACACTAGTAGTAATAGACATGCAAAGGAAAAACAAACACAAACAGTTACAGTATTACCCTGGTTTCACTAAGTATTTGGGGAAACTTAGCTCAAGCTTAATTAATACAGTTCAGGTTCAGAAATCTATGCTTAGAGAGAGAAGAGAAAAGAGAGAGAGCTGGGATCTCACCAGTCCAAGGCACTCGGGTTGCAAAGCTGACAGGTTAAAGTTCTCAGTGCGATTCTTGAAGGGAGACGATCCGCCTCCTTCAGCCTCTCAAGAAGAAAGCAGGTGGTGTCAGCACACACACTGCTGCTTCTTTTACAGATTTTTATACCCTCAGTTCAGCTTCTTTCAAGCATTCTCAATAGTGTAAATCAAATTGTCTTTTCTATTGACAAGAGGTTATCTGGTTGGAACATCTCAGGAAACTGATTGATACTCAGGAAACACATACTTAGGAGCCAGCATGATATTCCCATGAATAGCAGATATACTGATGAGATAGCTCCTGGTTTCTTCAGAAACAATAGATAGCTTGCAGCATCAGGGTTTTGGATTTTTACTTGTGAACAAGCCTCAGCTTAGCATGACTTTTCCAGATCTTACTATAGTCTTTAACAGACTTAAGGCAATTATTGGAGTGTTCATAACCTTTTGTGGAGAGGACTTCTACCAGTCGTCCCGGGAAAAGTATGATAACACTTGTGGTCAGGGCTCCAATGGGCTGGATGCTGTGATGAACCCTTTACCATTGTTCAAATGTTGCCCATACCCCCTGACTTGTGTCTTGCCCAGCAACCGAGTTTTGGACAATTAAGTTTAAACAGGCCTCCCATAGTGGGACCAGGGAATGTACCGCCCGAGATGCCTATTAAACTTACTTCTGCTTAGTGGTGTGTGTGTGTGTGTGGGGGGGGGAAGTCCTTTGTAAATCCAGTTTAGAACTGGTCTGATAAATGCTGAGCTGGGTGTGTGGGTTGATTAGCATTTGGAGCACAGATTCCCATCATTCAGTGCTCCCCCGCTTCGCTGATCCCAGAATTCACTGTAGTCTCTGCTTCAGGCTTTCTGTTCTCCATCTCTCATGTAAATGAATGGTCATCTGGTTCCATCTCGGATGCAAATGAGACCTAGGGCAGTTGTTTCACTGTTGTCGCCCTTATCTGGAGGGTTTAAGTGTGTCTTTCACTGCATCTTAATCAGTTTCTGTTTAGGTAGAGGAGGGGAGGGTGGGGGGATTCTTTGTGAGTCAGACAATCTGCGTCCTGTGTCAGGGTTCCCCAAGAACATGGAGCTGAGAGGTAACAGTGGTCCTGTACTATGCAGCTTCTCCCATAAGTACTCCCTGCATGCCTCATACAGGGAATGCACCACCATCCTGCTGAAGGTGGTGCATGTGCGTGTTTGGTAGGATGGTGCCATGAGTGCTATGAACCTACTGCCAGGCTCAGGAGGAGCAAGGGGATGGTGCCTGTGGAGCTTCATCAGCATCCCTGTGGTGCTCATGCATTTTGTTCCCTTGCCCTGGCTGGTTTTGGCTTGGCAGTGTAAGCAGATAGCATACATGGGATCATCTGCCAGTTCAAAATGATCCCAAACTTCCTGCTCACTTCTGGGGTGCGGGTGCACATGTGGATGCTTCAGTTTCCCCCTCCTCAGCAGGCAGAGGCACATCAACAGGAGGAGTGGACTCAGATGAGCTGCATGCCTCTGCAACTACTACCTCAGCCTCCTCTGAAGTGCCTTCTGGGAAATGAGACCTGGATCTAGGGGAAACTTGAGGAATGTGCAGCACAAACTCAGCTGATTTCCCCTCCATCCCCAGAATTCCCCTTCCTAAGGCACTCAGATGCAGCTCCAGCTCCAGCTCTTCCTCTGGCACTAGAAGGCTCAGCATGGTAAGTGAAATGGGGGTGCAGGAGACTGTCATGCTGGTGCTGGTGCTTGTTGTCATGGTAGTGGTGGAGGGGGGGGCTATGGCTGGTGGTCTTGGAGGGAATGCAGTCTTATACACAGGCAGTGACACTGGCACTGCTCCCCTCTCCCTGTTGCATCTGGAAGCCTCGTCCCTGCTAGTTGTAGGAAAGAGGCTGCATCTCAGTTGGCGGGGTGGGTGGGGAACTTACACCTCTCCCTCTACCCTCTCTTCTGCCCCTCCCTGAAGGCTTGCCAGATGCCTTTCCACCAAACTTCATGGTGTGTTTCATAGTGTCTATAGTGTCTATAGTGTATTTCATAGTGTCTATACAAATATATCAAAGTATCTGCGTTTGTATATATATGGTATAAGGTGTGTAGTATATGCCACAAGGAATAAATGTATAGAACTAAAATATAAATGTATCTCCCTTCCTATATAAATTAAAGTATATATTGTAATATCCAATATAATTATAAACTTGAAAAGAATAAATCAATGAATATAATAATTAAATAAAAGGGTCTAGAAGAAAGCAAAAGGTATAGACTAGGCTAGCAAGTAGGAAATCATTCAAATCAATGCTAGTAGTAGCCTTCATTGTCTAATGCTCCCAGGATGCTGGAAGACACAGCTCAGTAACCATCAGACCCCAAGGTAGAAAGCAGGCCAGTTCAAATAATGCTGCCTTTTATGCTGTTTTTCCATCCCTCCCCCAGAGCACTGGGATTAGAAAGGATCTCAGGGAAGAGTCACAGTCACTGGCCAGCTACACATTCAATATGAGAGCAGTCCTCCCACATATTCTGCCCTCTTCCCCCTCCCTCTCCTTACTTTCTGTTTCCCTGCAGGCAAGCCCAGCTTGAGATTCAAAACTTGAAATTTTTTGAAACTTTCAAAACATTGCAACTGCTCTTGTTTTGTTTTGAGGCTATTTCGAGGCTTAGTTTCAGTTCAATTTTGCTGTTTCCAGCTGGAAATGAGTCAAAAAAGCGTTGAAACAAAACAACTGGCAACATTTTGCACAGCCCTACTAAACAGTGCCATCTTACCCAAGAATTTCTGTTTCTTCATGAACCTTAAATATCTGACAAACAGCACCAGACTTCTGTGTAGGTGAGAGGCTCTGTTGCCCCCTGTCTCAGCCTGTCATGTGTGATTAGTGTGTCTTGCTCTCTATTGGGTGGAAACAGATGAGGCAGCCCTGTGCCTCATCTGCATATATATTTTTGGAGGTTTCCAGGACTTGTGGCTAGAACACCCAGTTTTAGTCACAAGTGGAGGGTTAATTAGCATATGGATCCTTTTGGGGGGTATTTGCAATACACCTGCATACTGAGCAGAGCTAGGCTGTGGGATCACCATGATTTGAACTAGTATTGACTCTGCTAGAGTCCAGCTCAATGAACTATATGATATAAATCATAAGCCTTTGGTTCTTGACTAATATCATGCACAGTTTGTACTATGTATAAGTAGGTACAAAAGTGGTTCTCAAAAATACGCTTATGGAGTACCTGTGCAGCAATCAGGATTGTGGCCAAAGTCAGACCCAAAGCAATTTCCCAATTTTTTATTAGTTTTCCATATCTAGAATCTAATTACTGTGGGTTCATCTTATATTCAGGGTCGTCTTGTATTTGAGTAAATATGGTATTAACCTGTTTTCATTTAGGCTCCTGAGAAGATTTTCTAGACTTGATTACAAACCTATTTTAAATTTCTAACTGAAAATTTTATAAAATAAATGTCACATCAAAATCAATGGCTGTTTTATAAGGGGCAAGATAGCATGTTTGCAAAAAGCAGTTGCATTAAAGCTTTTACCATAGAAATCTTTAATCTGCTTCTCAAACCCTTGTTACTCTGCTTTGTCCTCTATTTTTTCACTATATTAAAAAGTCAGTGGTCTTTAAATTGTATTCTTTGGTAGAGTTTGTGTTTTTTTATTGATGTGCCGTAAAACAATAACTGATCTAGCTCCCTGGTCATACAGCTGTGTGAAATTTATAGTTTTTCCTTCAAAGGTGTTTATGAAAAAGTGCTATTTAAGTCAGATTTGTATGAGTCTTGTGCTCCAGGCTTTTGCTTTCAATTTGGGATGTAAACAGACCAAAAATTTCAAAGTGAAACTCCACAGAGAATTTGTTTCACCTGAGTTAAAACCAAATCTAATCTATAGCTGAAATCAAGCTAAATCATCAATACTTTACAGTTTGGACTTAAAACAAACAAAAGAATACATTAACACAAGCTTGTGAAAAATTGGCCTATAAATACTTTAAAGGACTAAAGAACCATTCAAACCACTCAACAACCTTGTATGAGTTTTGAGAGAATGCCATGCCAAGCAAGTAAAATTGGCATGGAAATGTTTATGAAACTTCTTTATGGTCCAGAATGGGACTGCAAATCAGATACTGAGGATTCGGACAAATGACATAGTTATACCAATGTAATTTGTTGCTATATCCACTGGGATATTGGGGTGTGTTTTTACACATACACACACATACACAATATAATTTTTATTCCTCACTGGAGTGAAAATAGGTGGAAAACTTCACAGTTTTCATGGAATGATTTTTTTTCTAGTCAGCAAGGTTTGAGTTCATTTAATCACACTGACTTTCCAGTTGCTTTATTGTTGAAGGGAAGCCTTAAATCCCAAAATTAGGACAAAGGGGAATTATTTTGTTGAATGGGCCCGGGAATTAAGAGAGAACATATCATGCTTGTCTCCTCCCAAGAGAATCACTTTATTGGAAAGCTAACGTAAGTTTAACTAGCATTCTGACAAGACAGTGGGAATGCAAAAACCTGTATGGGATGATAGGGGTAGTCCAGACTCCAGGATCAGTGATTTCTTTCTGTTCAGTTCCTCAGATCTTTCTATTCTCCAAACTCACCAAATTCCCCAGGTTTACTACCACAGATCATTAACGATTTGTATCTGTTCACTCTTTGACTGGATATTTTCAAATTTCTTTATCTCACTGAAACTTTTGGAACTAGACTGAACTATTTCTCCTGTGGACATGGAAGGTGACAATTAGTTGGGATGTATATTTTGGTTGAAGTAACAGTTTTGGAGAGAAGGATTCCTTATCTCCTTCCTTCTCCATCATGAAATGTTGTTTCTCACCATTCTGTTTTTATTTTCACTTTACTTAATAGCCTTTATAGATAAGGCAGCTTTGTTCTTTATACTTATATAAGAAAACTAACACAGAACATCTATTATAAGTAGAGGTGCACTGATGCATTGGTCTGATATTGGATTGGCACTCATATAAAGAAAATTTTCTGTCTCAGAAATTGGCCCAATACACCTGATAATTTGTCTGATAAATGCCCATTCATGTGCACAGCTGCAGCAGAGCACGTAGCAAGTGAGGAGGAGAGCCAGCAGCATGGAGATCTGCCTCCAGCTGGTAACTCTGGTGTAGTGGGAGGGGATGAGGGAGGGAAGAGGAGAGGAAAGAGGTGTGGGGGGACAGATCAAAGCCCCTGTGGTGAGGGAGGGTGTGGGGTTGGGGTTGGGGCTGCGGCAGGGGCTGGGGCAGGCACTGTCCAGCCAGAGTGGGGTGGGTGTGAGACAGAGCTGTGTCTCATCTGGGAGACACAGAAAGGGAGGGGGTGGCTCCCACTGCTGCACATGGCTCGTCTAGTGCTTGCCTGCTCATGTGGCTGCTTCCACTGCTACTCCCACCGCTTGTTCGGGAGGGCATGGGGGGGGTGTGCTCCTGGATCTGCCTGGCTGCAAAGATCCCAGTGTAGCCTGGTCTCAACCCACCCTGCCCCACCCTGCCCCACCTCACATAGATCTGGGGGCACACGCCCTCCCCATGCCTTTCCAGACAAGTGGTGGGAGGAGCAGTGGGAGCCACCAGATGAGCACTGGACAAGCTGTGCGCAGACGTAGGTGCCACCCCTGTTCCTTTCCCATGTCCCCAGGCTCATTCCTGCATTTGCCTTGGCCCCGGCCCCAGCCCCAGCCCCAGGCCACCCTGTGCCACACAGACTTGGCAGCACATGCCCCCCCATCCCTCAGACGAGCCACTTACAGCTCTGTCCTACACCCCTCCCCACCGCAGCTAGGCAGCACCTGTCCCAGCCCCAGCCTCATTCCCTTCCTCAATGCAGGGGCCTTGATCTCCCCCACCATGCCCCTTCCCTCCCCCCTCCCCGTACACCATACCAGACTTACCAGCTGGATGCAGCTCTTCAAGCTGAAGAGCTGTGTCTCAGAAATTAGATTGGTATTAGCCGATATGCCTCCTTAAAAATTGGCTATCGGCATTGGCCCAAAAAACCTCTATTGGTGCAACCCTAATTATAAACTACACTACATCTACTACATTTAGCCACATCAATCATTCCTACTAACATTTGAAGATTAAGCTATGTATAGTTTATTTGGATTATGTGATTTAAGTTCTTCATTTATTATGTTTCCTTTCAGGCCATTTACTCTGCTTAATTTGATCTCATTACTGGTTTAACTGGACGTGTTGATTACTTCCTTTTCTTTCCTGATGAAGTTAATTGCCACGTCTTCAAAAATTCACTCTACAGTCACTAAGAAACAGGCTTTGATGCCCTCTGCTTTAGCCACACTTCTGCAGCTTAACTCAGAATTTCTATTATTTTAGTTATATATTTAAAACAAAAACATGCAGTTCTGATTTTTATGTAATCCAAGATATATGCAAGACTGAGGCCTCTAATGTGTTCCTTACATAAATAAATCCAGGATATTAAAAAGTGCTCCCAGGCTTCCAGCCTCCCACCAGGGCAGGCAGCCCAAGCAGGAGGAATAGAAGCCAAGGACTTAAGTCCCCAAATCAGGTAAGAATCTTCCCTCCATACTCTCTGCACCTTCTTTCTTCCCATTTCCATGATATGTGTTCAGCAGCACCTCCCTGCCCTTCCCATTCCCTCCTCACTCTCTCTATTTATGTCTCTGGGTACAAGAAAGGCAGACTCACCTGTTGCCACTGCTGTCCTCACTTCTTCTGTTCCACTTCAGCTATGACTGCGGGAAGACTTCACGGGGAATGAAAATAATTTTTGGCTTTTATTCAGAAGATTTGGGGATCAACTGTTATCTCACCTAGCATTGAAACCAGGGAAAAATTGATTAGATGAAATTGTATCTGTTTCACTGCTATCAGCTATCATTCTTTCTATACTTTTTCTTCTCATTACATGAATATTGCCTAACCTTTGCTTATATGGGGAAGCAAAGAATCTAAGAACTAATTCAGTGAACGGGTAGCAGCCTGAGAAAATGGGTAGCTTGCTGAAAGCAATGTATTCTGGGCTATGTAACACAACCCAAAGCCCAGAACTGTTAGGACCACAGGGATTTGAACCTAGAGCAGTAAAGCCAGCAGGCAGAGGCAAAGTCTGTAGCACCAGCACTCCCTCCTGGTCCCTCCTCTGGGGAGTCAAATGATCAAGTGGAACCTATGGAAACTATGAGCCCCTGAAAGGGTGACCACAAAACCCCTCTTACTTTCTGTGATATACTCTTAGGTGTACTTCTGGACCTCTGCTTGGCTCATGCCTGATCCCAGCCTTGCCACAGGCCCTGCTTCTGCCTTGTTTGAACCTCCCAGCTCGGATCTTCCATCTACCCCGGCTATGATACCACCTCAGACCTTGGCTTGATGACTTGGACTGCAGTGCGTACACGGTGTGACACCTAGCCTCACTATGGTAACTTAAGTCACTGACTATGGCCTGGTTGATCCTGACCGGCTGCCATTCTCAGCAGATTTAGGATTCTGAAAAGCAGGGGTGAGGGGTGCGAATTGTGCTGTGCGTGATCACATATTTTTCTCAATCCATATTTTTCACAAGGTAAAAGAACCCATAAGCTTTACTAATACGCTAAGGGCCTAATACATATTATTCTGTTTAATGTATATCTCTTTCAAATTTATAAAACAAATCAGCTTTCTTGAGCATCCTGACAGTGCAACCAATGATTCAGTGAAAGTTATTTCCATAATCGAGTTAATTGTTCACTTGAGTTAATGTTTCCATATCTGAGTTATTATTTTTAGCTAGAATTAAAAATAATTTGCAGGGCTGCTAAATTGGAGTTACATTACCAGGACCAACTAGCAAAGAGCAGAATTGCAGAAGAAAGGATAACTTGACTAGTAGAACACTAGGATCATTTAGAATTTAGAGACAGTGTTTAACACCTGAGGAATAACAGTTCAGGAAAAAAATCAGGTATGTCATAATAATCCATGAGGTGACTCCATCTTTGCTGCCCGAATAGAAATATTGCTGCCACTGCCAGGCAGTTGGTTTTATACCTTTGGTGAATCAGAAATCAAAGAAGGGTGCAACTGCACCACTGCACCTTCACCTCTCAGCTTTTCCCCTGGCTGGCATGAACATACATCATAGGATGTCTTTTGATAATACAAGCAGCAGATGCAGCTTACCATTTTCATAACTTGGAATTTAGGGTTACTGGACGTTATATGTGCACCAGCCTACAGACTGCCATTATATGGCTTGATGATTACCTACTTTTTATTTTGTTCTATGTATATAGCAACATCAGACCCATATGACAAAGGAAGAGGTATGATAGGGTGTATAGATTCATAGATTCATAGATTCATAGATTAAGGGTCGGAAGGGACCTAGTAGATCTTCTAGCCCGACCCCCCGCCAGGGCGGGAGAACAACAAAAAACCCCAAATTGCTCCCTATCAGTCCAAAAATAAGCCTGATTTCATTTTGAGGCCTGTAAGTCTTGGAGAAATTTAGGAGATATAAATGCCAGTGCATGTGGGTGCACCTACATGTGCAATTAATGTACCTGAAAAAATTCCAGTGCAGTTCATACCAGAGTTTTTGCTCCTGGGCACAACATTTACATATACACCTAGGTCTACAGCACACTGAGCCAGGGCACCACAGCCCTGGCTGACAGGGGGCCCAGGGAGTCAGCCTGCAAGCCTGCAGCTGCTCTGTCCTGGCTCAACATGCTGTGGAAGGGCTGTCTGGGCCACAAGGGTGCTACTACCTGGGGCTAACCAGCAGGCAGCACCCATGCTGTAGCACCCTCATGAGCCAGCCAACCCCAGTTACTATCTACATGTGTTTGGTGGTAAATAACTCTACCATAGGTTAGTACGTCTGTCAGGCAGTTTTATCCTACAGCAGAATTAATTAGTTTACTCCAGCCTAATAGCACCACATGTATAGACAGTGATGCTTTACTGCAGAGCTAATGAGTCATTTCTTCAGTAAAGTACACATGTAGATGCCCCCAGTTAGTTGCTTTTATGTCTTCCTTTATCACTTCCTTTTTCTCCCTTTGCATCTCCTTCAGTCTTTGCCTTTTTCAATGCCTTCTGTCCTTTCTTCAGGTTTTTTCTTGCTTCCTTCTACCTTTCATGGTGCAACTGACTTGAAGATTAGTACAACAGGGCCTAAGTAGGCTCAAAGTTTCTTCTTGCTTTTATACAAGCACAATGAGCAGTTCCTCAGTACTGACTCCTTCTTTCCGGAGGTAGCAAAGTAGCATCAGGTAGCTGTTACTGCTGACTATGGATGCTGAGGCCTGAAGGAGCGGTATCTTGCAGATGAATAGTAGCTATTTTTAAAAGTATATGTTACTGATCTTTAGTTGGTCAAATAAGGTGCCATTTATGACTTCATGATTTTTACTTTTTCTGGGATCAGGTTTTCAGTACAGATACTGCAGAAGTGAATTTCAGACTCTTTGGCCACCTATACATGTGCCTGATGCCTGGGCCAACACATTCTAATTAGTGACTCAGTTAATGGGGTCTGCTGGAGTGTTCTAATTACAACACTCTGGCAGCCTTGCCATCATGTGTATTCAGCATCTCTGCATTTCAAAATGGTGGTGGAGATGTTTGATTAAAGCTTTAACTAAAGCTAAAGCTTGTCAAACTAGCTTTACTTAAAACAGCCCCTCCACTATTTTGAAGTATGGAATGCTGAATATACAAGACACTGCAGGCTTTTTAATTTGAATGGCTCCTGACAGCCACACTAATTAAAATGCTTGCCTCCTCCCCGTCAACCCCAGAGCATGTATAAAAACACCCTTTGTTTCATAGAACCTTTGTATTGAAATGTGTTTGTCTTGCATGATTTTTCAAGCAACTTATATTGCAGTTTTTGGAAGTGTGAACAAACTGGCTACATCCACACTGAAATCATGAGATGGAAAATCAGCATTCCTCCATATGTTTTATACAATGATGTCTTTGCTTGAAAATTGTTCCAACTTGTGCTGTGAGTGATCTAGATCTTCTTATGATAGGCCATCCTTTGCATGAATCACTTTAAAAAAATTGCTGTACCATGCATTGGTCGGTTTGCCTTTTTTTTCATAAAATGAACAGATTTTTGATTGTGCTTGCTGGTATCCTTCTACCTCCTAACTGACAGCCATATTTGACATGACTGATCTGTTTTCTAAGTACTTCTTCTGTTTGATATTTTTTTGTAGATGTTATAGCAACATCCAAAATTTGGCTTAAAATATATACTTATTGCAACCTCCATTATAGAATGACCATCTGACCCCTAACGCCTGGGCCACATTAAACTATAGTATAAAGCAAATTTATTCAGGATGGTCATGTGATAGATTACTAAGTAAGATCCATACAATTTTGTCTATATGGAACATCTATAAATCTATATTGCCTCTTCCGATTTAATCTTCCTAGATGTTCATTTCTCTGCTTCATTTCCTGTGTTTCTGAGTGTCTCCATCTGATTATATGATTTTTCTTCATTATTTGTTTTAAGACCCTTATTGGACTACTCCAGTGTATGCCAGTTTTGCAAAAAGGACTGACTGCCGTTAGCTTAATACCTGCAGTCTTCAGCTGGCTGTCTACTAAAATGATGTGCGTCCTCTTTTTTTGATCTTTATGATCTAAACAGGCTGCTATAATTCAAGATAATGAACCAGTTATTTTCAACAAGACATCAGTCATGTCACATCTTTTTGTACATTTATAA